TTCAATATTTAGTCCTAAAGGGTTGTCTCCTGAGCATTTTGGTACATGACTAGGAAGTCCCTATGAAGGTGTGTGAGATGTAAATTTGTCTCATTTCTGTGTATAGACAACATTATTGCTGTGATGCAGGATATGATCATCAGGAAATCTAAGACCTGAGGCTCTGGAAACTCACATGTTTAAGATAATGTTAAAACAATGGGGAAGTTAAGATAACTGGTAAAGATAAAGATTTTAAACTGGAAATTATTTTTAATATCATGGTCATTTAAGGGTAAATTGAAGTTAAGTAACATTGTCTTTTGTAGCCGAGACCTAAACTTTCAAATCTATATTCATTAAATTCATTGCTCCATTCAGAAATTTTAATGATTTGGTCAGGAAAACCTTAAGCTCAGTGGGTGAGTATGAATCCCCATTTAAATACTTATGATTTGCTTCTGTGTTCAAGATCAGGCTAGCCTTGGAGGCACATGGTTTGCTCATACTAATCTTGTGTCATAGAACAGAAATATTTTTATATCTCTGTGTCATAAATGAATTTATTTTATTTTGGTGCTTCCTAGAAGTTTCAGAAGTGTCAGGAGAATTTTTCAAATGTGCATGTCTAATCCATGGACACGTCCCATTCTATAACAATCTTTGAAAATCTTTCCTGTCTTTTATTATCATTGGCGATTTTTCATTCATTTTTGACATAGTTATACTTTATATATTTACATCTGTATATCTGTCACAGGACTTTTGTGTCTGCTAAAATAATTGTGCCCTTATATTTTAAATTTGTGATGATCAGACTTACCCTACAGAATGATTTCCATCAACAAATACATTTTCTGATCCAGGAAATTTCAAGAGAAGGAAGATGGAAAGTGTGGATTCATCAAGTCAACATATATTTTTACGGCTGCTTGTGATAAACAATTACCTTATATTTGTGAAAAAATTGATGAAAAGATTGATACCATTTAATATAGTATCACCTGCTATAGATCATATCTATAAGGTAAATCTCTTGCAGGGGCATATGTGTGTCAAATGCATGTATATTTGAATCTCAATCCCTATTTAATAATTACCCTCCATGAGGCTGTACATGGTTCATCTCAGATGCAAACTCCTGAGCGCTGCTTCTCCCATTGTTACCTCCTCAGTGTGTTTCCAACCTGCTTGTGCTGGGCAATAAAATCTTCACCAATAAATATGTGTGTATCTTTTAGATTTATAATTCTTGGTTAGTTGGAGCAATTCTTTATGATATTTTTTTTAAATTTAAAGTGTTTGTTCATGTCTTTGCAGATTAATATCACACACCTAATTTTAAGGGAAAAAACACACATAATAGTTCATACAAAAAGTTCCCTTGATTTATACAGTTGAAAACCAGGTAAGTTTAATATCTGGTGTAGAAATTTTTGAATTTTATTTTTATGTCCTTTGAATATACATCTAGAACTGGGCACCCTGGATCATATGGTAGCTCAATTTTTAATTTTTTAAAAAGATTTATTTTATATTTTTATGCATACAAGAACTGTGTAGGCCAGAGGTGTGGGGTGTGAGATAGAGCAGAACAGGCAGATCTACTGTTAGAAAAGAAAGGAGGCCAAGAGTATCAGACAAAAGCGGGCTTTATTGAAAGTCCACGAGGTGACAACTCTGCAGGCCCAGAGTCACGCAGAACACCGGTGGTTATAGGGTTAGGGTACTGCTGAATTTTTTTGGAGTATGAGGCCAGAGGGCGACAAGTCTTTCCTGATAGTGGGGTGTGTTAGGGGCAATGGTCTCTCTTGCCAGGAGGGTCTGCTGGAGTATTTACTACTGTCAGCTTATCTTTAGTTTAGCTTATCTCTGGTCCTCAGGCCGCAGGACACAGAGCAGTGATGCATTTTATTATGGGCCTGTGTGTGCTCCCTTCATCTACTGGAATGCACTGCTGAGGGGTTTAGTGGGTGAGACAGGAGGGGTCTGCTGTTCCATGTGTGTAACCTCCCTGCCCCAGGATCTAACTGGTGTACATAGCAGGTGCTGGCTATAGATATATAGTGCTGAGACTTTAACCCCTGATCCACCAGGGAAGCCCCAATTTTTAATTTTTATTTTTGGGGAAATGCCATATATTTTTCTTAGTGGTTGTCCTAATTTACATTCCCACAAATGGTGCTCAAAGGTATCTTTTCTACACATCCTCATCAAGCTTTGTTGTTTCTTTTTTTTTTTTTTTTGAATAATAGCCATTCATTCTAACAGGTGTGGAATGATGTCTTTTTGTTGATTATATTATATTTCCTTAATGACTAATGATGCTGTGAATCTTTTCATATGCCTATTGTCCATCTCTGTCTTCTTTGGTAAAATGTCTATTCCAACCTGACCATCTTTTGATTGGATTATTTATTTGTTTGCTCTTAAAAAGATGTATGTATTCATTCATTCATTCATTCATTCATACATTCATTTATATTACTATTTAATCCTATCTTTTCCTTATATATTTTGGATATTAACCCTTGGTTAAGTATATAGTTTGCCTTTCATTTTGTTGTTTCCTTTGCTATGCTGAAACTTTTAGTGAGAGACTGGAAAAGAAAAATGAAAATATGCCTATAGGCAAAGTGACAAATTCTGTATATAGCAAATTTCAAAATCTCCAAAAGTATACTGCTAATACATATGCATTTAGCGTAATTTTAGGAACCGTATGTAAAATTCAATTGTTTCTATATACTAAAGCTTATCTATTGGAAGTGGAAATAAAGATACCATTTATAATAGATATCACAATACTTAAAACATAGATAAAATTAACCAAAAATGTACCATTTGTATGCTGAAGAATATAAAACTATGTGAAAAAATTAAAGCCAAATAAATTGATAAATATACCATATTCATGGATTAGAACTTCACTATCATAAAAAGTCTCTTCTCTCTAAATTGATCTATAGATTCAAATCAATGCAAATCAGAAACCCAGTAAGCTTTTATTTTGTAGAAATCTACACCCTAATTTTAATTTTTAGAATACAATTTATTTTTAGAACAATGTTAAATTTTCATAAAGAAATGCAAAAATAGTACAAGTTTCCCCTATATTAACATATCTTATTAGTATTAGACATTTTCTGTGATTAATAAACCAATATTGAAATATTTTTATTTGCTAAAAGCCATATTTTATTTAGATTTCCTTAGACTTCACCAATGGCCTTTTTCTTTTTTTTAATACAATTTTTTTTAATATTTATTTATGTATTTATTTTTATAAGCACAGGGTACAGTCAGAAGCACGGGAGGGTGAGAGAATTCACCAGAGCCAGAGCAGGGAGCAGAACAGGCACGGATGAAGTACACTGCTGAGGGGAGCAGCGGGCGGCAGGAGAGGTCTGCGCACCATGCGGGACCCTCGATGGAGGCCGGGGATCGAACCGATGCTGCAGAGGCTGTGGGCAGCTTCACAACCCAGTGCTCAACCGCTGTGCCACCTGGGAGGCCTGTCCAATGGCCTTTTTCTATTCTTGGATCTCATCCAGGTTAACACATCCTATTTAGTTGCCAGGCCTCCTTAAATTTTTTTGGTTGTTCAACCCCTCAGAGTGGGGAGCAGAACAGGCACATCCACTGAAATACACTACTGAGGGGAGCAGCTGCCCAGACAGGAGAGGTCTGCTGTGCCATGTGGGTAGCTCCCTGGCCAGCTGGGGATAGAACTTGTGCTGCAGAGGCAGCAGTTAGCTTCATAATGCTGAGACTTAACCCCTTGCTGCACCAAGGAGACCCCCTGAACCTCTCCTTATTTTGATGGTAATTTTGAAAAATACTATTACTTTCCTGTCACTTTAAGAGTGTGTCCTTTGCCCTCTAGAGAGGGAATTCACCAGGAGGTGCTACTTGTAGTTGAACCAAGTGAGGCTTTGTTAGAGAATCATGTGTGAAGGGGCCAGGGGGCCAGTTTGGGAAAGGAGAACATAAGCTGGCTCCCCAGTGGGAGGAGATATTTAAGGTTAAGTCCATGAGGTAGGGAGAAAAGCAGCATCATAGCTTGTTCTGGGCTGGGCTATATCTGGGCATGCGTGAGGGGCTACATTCCAACAGCCCATGTGGGCACTCAGCCTTCTCCCTTCAGGAAATTGTGTGTTAGTCAGGGTCTAATCTTTTTGCCTGTCATGGCTCCTCATGGTCAGTGCAGTGGGTTGAATTGCTTGGACAGAGCTGCCAGTCCATGATTTCATCAACCTGTTCAAACTGGGCTAGAACTACTCACACCACTGGCTCAGAGTTCCTTTCACCTAAGCAGTCTTGCTACTTTGCTTTGCTTAGCATGTGGCAATTCTCCCACCTGCCTGGGACTAGAAAGGTATTTCTTTTTATAAACCTTTTCCCTTTGCAAAGCAGCAGCAGCAGCTCTCTGCCCACCTGTCTGCAGGGGCCTCTCCTTTCCTTCCTCCTTGCCCTAGTAAACCTGTCCTTTTAAAATCTAAAAAAAATAGAATACCCCTCCATTGGATTCATCTGGTATCTTTCTCATGAGTGATTGGAGTCATCAGTTTTTTGGAGGAAGCCCACAGAGGTAAAAAGTCATTTTTATGACTATCAAGAGCACATATTTGAATATGACTTACATTGTTGGTGTTAACTCTGCTGAGTGAGGTTGTGTTTGTCAGTTAGTCTCTTTTCCCTTTCGATATTATTCCAAAATGACTTCTTTGGGAGGTAGTAATCATGGAGAGAGAGAGACAGAGAGAGAGAGAGAGAGGCGAAGTTTCATCCTACTTCCCCAAGGCTAGATAAGGCAGAAGAGAGCAACTATTCCAGGAGGGTTATCCATAATCCTAGGACAGTGTCTCACCTTCCATCACTCTTCCCCTCCTCCCTACCCGGGTGCCTTCCCTCCCACCTGAGAATGTAGAAACCCTCCCATACCCCTCGTGTCCTTGTCTTCTTTTCTTTCATGTAGGACCTTTCTTCACTCAGGACTGGAGAAAACAGTGTCTTTAGCGAGTTAGCTGCAGTTCTCCCGTGGTGATGCCACATGTTAAAAAAGTGCTTCGTTTGTTGAAACAAGCTCTGGTTCAGGGTTAGGCATCTTAGTACAAATGATAAATCCCTGTTAGGTTGGTAACAGGTCTTCACAAAAATGATCTATCTATTTTGAACACAATTGCCATACTATTTCAATAGAGAATACTGTTTTTAAAAAATGATGTTGGAAAACTTAGACATCTAAATGCAAAAATTTTTTTAAAATGTGCTCAAGCCAGGGCCTCCCCGGTGGCGCAGCGGTTGAGCGCTGGGTTGCGAAGCTGCCCGCAGCCTCTGCGGTGCCGGTTCGATCCCCGGCTGCTCCCCGGCCACAGGAGGAGGGTCCCACATGGCGCGCAGACCTCTCCTGCCGCCCGCTGCTCCCCTCAGCAGTGTACTTCAGTCCTTCTGCCTGCTCTGCTCCCCACTCTGGCTCTGGTGAATTCTCTCACCCTCCCACGCTTCTGACTGTACCCAGTGCATGTATAAACAAAACAAACAAACAAATATAATAAATAAATAAAAACATGCCTCTTTAAAAAAAAAAATGTGCTCAAGCCATATTTTGTACTATAAAAAAAAGTAACTTGAAAGAGAATATAGAATTAATAAAATTTAAAGCTTCTACAAGACTGCACAGGATAAAAAAATCAACCTTAGGTAAATTAAATATTTTTATAAGAAAAATATGTATAAACCATGGATAAAAAATAGTGATTGTTGACACTTCATCAAATAAAAGGCTTCTGCTCTTCTAAATGTCTAAAATTTTTTCTCTAAAGACACTGTTAAAAGAATGAACAAAATATTTGAAGAAAATATTTATAAAATATCTGATAAAGTACCAGTATCCAAAGTATATAACTCATAACTCAATAACAATAATAATATTTGAAGAAAATACTTATAAAATGTCTGATAAAGTACCAGTATCCAAAATATATAACTTACAACTCAGTAACAAGGAAATGAACAATTGAATGAAAAGAGATAAAAGAAAATGTCACAGATGACATAATGGTTGACAAAAACATATGAAAAGATGACTTGTAGTACATTTATTATTGACATGCAAATAAAAACCACAATTAAAATGTATACATCCTATTAAAATAAGTTTTAAAAACTGATAATGTATATTTTCTTTTTTCTCAAATTTTACTATCAGTTGCTTACATAACTATAATTTTGGGAGTACAACTCACACCTCATTTTTCTGTACATGCCTATTCATGCTCCACAGAACCTCCCATGCCAATGCCTATCACCTTTCCTCCTCTTCCCACCCCTCCCCCATCTCCCCTCATCCTCTCTGTTGTCCAGTCTATTTTCACAGTGTTTAAAAATCATTGTTTTGCTATGTTTCGACATTTTTTTCTTCTTTGGTTATTTATATTCCACAAATGAGTGAATCGATCTGATAACTGTCTTTCACTTTCTACCTTACTTCACTTAAAATAATCACTTTGGGCCTCCCCGGTGGCGCAGCGGTTGAGCGCTGGGTTGCGAAGCTGCGCGCGGCCTCTGCGGCGCCGGTTCGATCCCCGGCTGCTCCCCGGCCACCGGAGGAGGGTCCCACATGGCGCGCAGACCTCTCCTGCCGCCCGCTGCTCCCCTCAGCAGTGTACTTCGGTCCTTCTGCCTGCTCTGCTCCCCGCTCTGGCTCTGGTGAATTCTCTCGCCCTCCCGCGCTTCTGACTGTACCCAGTGCATGTATAAACAAAAACAAACAAAGAAACCAGCAAACAAATAAATAAAGCATGCCTCTAAAAAAAAAAAAAAAAAAAAAAAAAAAAAAATAATCACTTTGAAGTTCATTCATTTGGCCCCAACAGGTACTATTTTATCATTTAAAATAGCTGAGTAGTATTCCACTGATTATATATTCAGCTTCTTTATCCAGTTGTCTGTCAATGAGCATTTCCATAGGCTGGTTCCGTGACTTGAGAAGATGCTGCATGAACATATATGTGAATAATCTTCTCATAATAGTGTCTTAACACAATCCTGGTACCCATATATAGCAATGGTATTGCTGGATCAAATAATAGCTCCAATTTTATTTTTGTTTATGAAGAGCTGCCACACTAAACAACTGAAAACATTTCATGTAGAAAGAATACAAGCAAATGGAACCACGCACTGCTGAATGATGCAGAAACTTTGGAGAATAGTTTCAATTTTATCTGTTTAGACAGAAACTAAGACACAGAATTTAGACTTGCCAGAAAGAATAGCTATTAGTTGTGGTTCAAGCCTTAACTCAGATATGATTCAAGAATTTCTCTTTCCAGTATATCATCTACATTTCTCAAAAAACTAAGCAATCAAGTAAAAATGCATACACAATTCTTGAAAATATAATGGCATTATAACTGCATTAATTCTTGTCCCAAATGTGCAAAATAGTGACTTAAGTTTGCAGGATTCCTTACTAAGCCTGTGTGAGTTGCAATAATGGGGTATAGGGAACTCTGCTTCCTAATCCTCATCACAAACACTGCTACTCTCTCCCTCCACCCACCTGTGTGCATAACTGGCAACCATCATGTGAAAGGGACAGAGTGGACAGTCTGATGTGCCTCCTCATTGTTCATCCAAAATTCCAATCTCATCTCAATCAGAGGTTATAATATAGGCCCAACCCATTAAAAAAAAGCAAAGATACTTTGAGAAGAGAGAGAGAGACTCTAGAACTTCCAAAGTTTTATAAGGAATATTTGTGGTTGCATTTCACTGTGGTGCTTACTCACATGGCTAGGCAGCAGGAAAAGCCATTTTCTTCTCACAAATAAATTGTATCACTTTGGAACAATCATGAGCAGCCATATTTGTTGCTGCTAGTCTGGCACAGTTTCCATCTTTTGATTCTTTCCAATCCCTGTTATAAAATAAAAACAAAGTTTTAAAATCTGCATTCATTCGGGCAGACATAATTGGACCAATGCTGGTCCAACTGATGTTGGACCAAAGTTGAAGTGATATATGTTTCTTTCCTTATTAGAACTATCCCGTGGTGCTGTATGTTTTCCCAAAGAGAACTGATAGGATACAGATGTGAAATACAAAACCTTCCTCCCCTCAATGTACTCATCCTCATAGCTGAACATATGTCCTTGGCATGTGTGTATGTATCTGTGTATATACATGGATATGTATGCAATTGCTCCTATTGCAGTTTGTGTGCTTTTCTAATTTTATACCTTGAGAATGTACACCAGAATCTGTAATTACATCTATTTTATAGACTTACATTTTGAGAATGGGTAGTGACTTATCTTCCCATGTCCAGGATCCTCTGATGCCTTCACGGGACAATCCAATCCAATAAAAATAAGATAGTTGACTCTGAATGAATTTCTGTAATAAACAGAACATATTTTGTGAGAAAAAAATTTTTATGTTTCCAAATTAAATAATGTTACTTATTTTTATTATTATGAATAACAAAAAGGATAAAGATCAACATCCTCCTGATTCTATTCAAGTTATAAATTAATGAGATCACACATATTGATATTTATTAAATACAGAACACAAATGATTCATAAAATAGCCATTAATTTAGCTATGTTCATTTAGACCTAGGATTAAAATTTGTTAATTTCGTTACAAAATGTATGCTCAAAGATGAATTCTGAGGAATTCATCATTGAAGCCTAGGTGGAATATCTGTGAGATTTCTACCATTTTTTTCCCCACAAGTTCTATGTTTATTACATGTGAAATGTGAATTTTAGAGAATGTAGCTGTTCCCCAACAGGTGACGTGTTTGTGTAGCTGAGTTGATAATTATTTGATAAATATAAAAATAAATGATATTCATTTAATAGTTCAATTGTTGCAAAGCAAATATTCATATACTATTTCACTTGATCTACTTAATGTGTTTGGAAAAAAATATAGCCAGTTTATTATAAAACAATTCTAGATGTTATGAGTAGAATTACATAAATTGTCTGGCCACTATCCACCTGAAGTCCACAATTACATTTAAGATTATATGGGGTTTTCTCATTAAAATATAACAATTAATTTACATTGAACAAAAAATTTAACATTCATTCTCTCTCCTGGCTACTTTGAATCCATCTGTCTATCTACCTATCTATCTATAAATTTTCATGGAGGTTCTTTACTTTATCTATAAAAAAAAGTATATTTTTAAAGATGAAGTATATTTTTAAAAAGTATATTTTTAAAATTTATCTTATCAGCAACAATTGCTATTATCTATTTCTTCTAAATGGAGTTAAATTTAAATGCTACAAATATCTTCTATCTATATTCAAATTATGTTTGTTTTATTTTTATAGTTTTCAAGTTCTTATTTTGAATTGCTCTTTCTGAGTTGTTGAAAGCCAAACATATGAGTCAGTAGATTAGTATAGAGAAGTAAATGTTCTTAATGTCTGTCTTTGAGCAGATATTGAAAGATTGCCCTTTACCTGGAATGTTAGAATATACTATTTTTTAATAATATAATGGTAATTTTTTTGTGTATTCAATGGAAGTCATAAGAGGATTATGAAATATTTAGTTCAGGTTTCTTTGAAAACTAGTATGAGTTTTAATATGAGCTGAAATTAATTGATCTTCAAATTTCAGTTCACTGTAGTTTTTTCCTTTACTTCAACTTTAGTAGAAATGCTAATTTTTCTTGATTTTTTCTAGTGGTGTAATAATCTTTCTCAGAAATAGTGAAACTAAATTTCAATTACATTCTCAGTTTGAAATATACAATTATCCTTGACCAAACACAATATATTTTAAGGATCATTATTTGCTAATTACACCATGTTTGAGTTTACATTTGCTATACTATGGAAATTCTAATTGTGGATGAATTAGATATTAGATCAATTTAATGAAAATCTAATTTAATTTCTAATTATATTTCTGACTTTAACATGAGCGTTGAGTTCACTTGCAAGTGTAGGTTGTGCTTAAACTCTCCAAAATTATAATTAAGATGTAGCTGACAACTAAGGGCTAAACAAGAGAATATGAGATGGAGAACAGAAAATATACATCACCAGTTCTTCCTCATCTTCTATCTTGAGAAGTGTGGAGCCCCTTTCCTTGCAGAATTTCTTACTCTCCATAAAGTTCTTTTCATCACTTGAAAAATAGTAACAGTTCTCTCCACAGCAGCGCCAGTTTGCTTTACACGTGCTCCTCTCACTTCCTTGAAAACAAAAGACATTTCAAGTCAGTGCCCTGAGTGAATGTTCTGACCTGGAGACAGGGGAGTCCTTCCCAGAGCTTTTAAGAACCTGCGTTTTATGACACTGATGGGGTTCACTTCCGCTTTCTGAAAAGAACCTTCGTTTGGGAGGAGAGTTACTTTGCTCATATCCCTCTATATTTATGCACAACATTATCAAAACTTTCTAGAATATTCTCTCACAACCTCTATATAAGGAAGCAGCTTTCTGCATTCTCTAGACTTCGTACAATTGTCAGTGCAGAGCACATCTGAGCGTAGTGCCTCATCTATACCCCGTATAAGGGTATAATACCGGTTAGAAAATATGATAGAAGAGATATAGGGTTTTATTTAGCATAAAAATATTATTTGGGGAGGTGGTGACAAAAATGAGTATATCATCACACATACAGGAAAACCTGACCTCTGGGAAAGGCTGATATTTTTGTCAATAACAAAAACATTGAACTTCAAATTAGTTTAGAGTAGAAGAGAAAATGATTTGAACCAGGGTGTCAGGAGACTGATAGAAATAGAGAAGAGACTTGTTGGTCTTGGTCGTCAATCCTATCTACATACCTTTGTTAAATGATTCCTCTTTATTGGCCGAGTTTTGATCAACGCAGTTGTTTTGTGTTACATTGTGCAATGGTTGGTTCTTTGATTCATCATAACTCTTATCCTGTAAAACTTAATTCTACACCATTAGCTTGAGAAAAACATAACATGGAACTGAATTAAAGGTAAATTAAAATTTAAACATATCAGTCAATGTTCAGGAGTAAGGACCATTGTTATCTTTGTGCTTGTTAGGCACCTCATCGCTCTATGATTTTCACACTAACATCTCATTTGTTGTAAATACATTGATGACAAAACATTTTACTAGACCTTGATGATGTAAGGTTAAAAACACAATGCTCCTTTCTCAAGGAACTCACCACTCCAATGGGAAGAATGCAGTAAGAATTCTGGTGATTAATGATATGACAATGGTATTCAAGGGTTGTTATTAGAATTCAGAAGAGGGATGTAGGTCATAGACTAATATGGCATATCAGCAAGACATTAAATTTGACTTTTGTATATGAATGAGAAAGAAGTAGGAAAGTGAAAAGGATAGATAATGAAATTATGGTCTGTTGTAACTGGAGTTCCAAAGTTCACAAGTGATTAAAAAAGTAAATTTGAATCACAGAATGGAAATACATAGGTAGAGCCAATAAAACTTTACATGTTTTTGTAAAGTGTCAGATTGAAAAAAGCAAATTGGCATATGATGTTACCTACCACCTAGAAATCCTTAAATATAGTCTTTTCAGGGAAAAGTCTGACTAACTTAAAGGATTACGTCACAAGATATGAATGACTTTGTAAATGGCCAAGTGATTACATCAGAGGTGAAGATGGCTTTCCTGCAGGTCCTAGCTATGAAACAAGTAGGAAAGCAAGACTTTGTTTTTACTATTTAGTAATTCCATAGGAGGAGATATTGTTTCAGATAACAGATCTAGCTTAACTTACCCTTCATTGCCAAGAGTCCAGTTGTTAAAAGAAGTATGAAACTGACAATCCCAAGAATCACCACAGCAAGATACCAGGCCAATGGAACTGTAGACCCTGCCCAGAGAAGAAGTGGCTCTGAGTCTCCAGTGGCATCATGAAATACACAATGTTTTTTGGGGGGAAGAAAATTCTCTATTTTACTGGCTCATTTATGGATATACCTTGATGTAACACTCAAACTTCATTAACTCTCTGAAATATACTAAACTGGATATTGGGCTTTCAACACTGCTTTTTTATTTTGTTTGTAAGATATAGTTGAAACAATCTCATGAATCTGGGCCAACTAATTCAGTTACTTGGAACAGTGGTTCCTGTCATATGTAACTTGAATCTCATACACAATGGCCAAGCAGTTGGAGGACAGGTAAGCTAGGTCCTCTGAATGAACTTTACCTTTTCCTTCAGATGATTTAGCTTTCTTTTTCTTTGCCTGGTTGGAGTGTGAAGCATGGGTTCTCACTTCTGTGTAAATTAACTGATCTGTGTTTTCTGTAGATAAAAACAGAGATGTAGTTACCTCTTCTGACTCACATGTTTTTCAATGAAAATTTGTAGATTATTTACATGTGTAAAGAGATTCGGAATATTATAGGATTTTTTCCCCTCCAGATAAAGAGAAATTTGCATTGCAATTTTTTTAAAGATTTATTTTATTCATATATACATACAAGAACAGGGTACAGGCCAGAGTGCATTGCACATTTCATAAGATAATTTTTCTTTAAATTGAGGTAGTGGGGCCTACTTGATTGTGCAAGGGGTTAAGTCTCAGCACTATGAAGCTATCAGCAGCCACTGCAGCACGAGTTTGATCCCTGACCAGGTTGCTGACCCACATGGCGCAGCAGACCTCTCCTGTCTCACCCGCTGCTCCCCTCAGCAGTGTATTTCAGTAGATCTGCCTGTTCTGTTCCCTACTCTGTCTCTGGTGAATCCTCTCACCCTCTGCACTTCTTGCGTGCACCCCAGTTCTTGTATGCATAAATAAATAAATTGTTCAAAAAATAAATAAATTGGGCCTTCCCTGGTGGCGAAGGCGGTTGAGCTGAGCGCAGTGCTGTGAAGCTGTCCGCAGCCTCTGCAGCACTGGTTCGATCCCAGCTGGCCAGGGAGAATCCCTTATGGTGTGGCAGACCCTCCTGTCTCTCCCGCTGCTCCCCTCAGCAGTGTATTTTGTCAGTCTGCTTGTTCTGTTCCCTGCTCTGTCTCTGGTGAATCCTCTCACCCTCCTGCATATCTGGCCAGTACCCCGGTTCTTGTATAAACAAACAAACAAACAAACAAATAAATATTTTTTTAAATAAATAAATAAATAAATAAATAAATAAATAAATAAATAAATAAATAAATTGAGGTAGTATTGGTTTACCACACTGTATATAATTCAGATATGTAGGATTATACTTTTCAGGTAAGTGTTATTATCCATCCACCACCAAGGCACCCATAGTTCTCTACCATTGTCCATTGGGTCTTCTCCTTTATTAAGTGACAATAACTTGAAAGTAAGTGAGACATAATATGTCATATGCTAAATTGCAATGAAATTCTTTAGAGAAATTACTAAACAAGGAACAGAAAATAATAACCAAGATTCACCAAGGTTTAGGGAGAAAGAGATACTCACTTTCCTTTTGTGTTTGCTTCTTTCCAGGGAAACTTTTCACTTCCGAATATGTTACATGTTTTCCACTCATTTCTAAAAAAATTGAGACAATTCTAAAGGACATGCAAATTGACATTTTGCTTTAAAATGAAGTTTTCAGATTATATGTTTTCTAGATTTTTTATATGTTCTTGAAATTAGTACTTCCTGCAATTTAATTACTGATATCTGATTTTACTTTTGTTCTTTTCTTTCAAAAGGATTTTTGCCTCAGATCGTTTTTTTCTTATTTTTCAAATTATCAGTTATCAACCTCTATCATTTAGCCCTTTGGATATAGCATTTCAATTACAACCTGGAATTCTCCAAATATTACTGTACATTTATTCTGAAAAGTTGGAAATGCTGTCATCTATGAAATATTTATGCTACACAGAAATAATGAATGAAATAATTATACTATAAAATACTATGAAATAATTATACCTACCCAGAAAAATGCCAAGAAAAATTTTGAGTATATTGATTTTGTACTTAAATAGTGTTTCATAAAGGATTATTGTAAAATTTCTCCTTTATGACCTCTTGATAATTTTTCCCTATTTATCTTCAATCTTCCATTTTAATGACTCAAAAACAGTTTGCTTCTTAGGTTGCCTAAAGGTTTTCTGCAACCTCTCCAAACATGGTGTTAAACATAAAAATTGATTTACATTCATTTCTATGGAGTATAATGTGTTATTATCATAATATTGGAAGGCATAGGCTAAAAGCACCAATTCTCTGAAATATTAATTTTATTTTCCAAACAAAAATTAATTAAATTATTTCAAGTATTCAAAATATATGTTTTAGAAACAGAAAAATAAATATAGAGAGAATTCTGATTGAATAAAAATATAAGAAGTCTGTATGCTTATTAGTTTGCCAGTGTACCACCCTCAAATTAAACACTTTTTATACATTTGTAATTTTCCAAGGAATTATGCTCCATGCATTGCTTTATAATATGATTAAAAATATCTGAAAGTTCACATTTCCTTATAAGATTGAATAATTCCCCACCAGATCACCTTTTATAAGAAAATGTGTGATTGTATAGAAATACATTTAAATGCCTTTAAAGATTCTTTATCAAGTACGGAATATCTCAGGAATGTAGAAGCAATAGCATAAGTAAGCAAAATCTAGATGATGTGGATTTGAAATACAGAATTATTATTATATAGACAAGAAAAATTAATAAGTAATTACTCATATCCTGCCTCATTGATAAACCATTTGCTCTATTAATGCACTTGGTTAATGTAAGAGAGACAAAATATTTGCTCATAAAACTGTAATTATATTAAATAATAAACAATGAAAAACTTACAGGAGACAATAAACTTTATAAAATTATTTCCAAAGCTAAATTGATCAAAATTTTAAATTTACTGAATTAAAAGATTATTCCTTGTGTTTCTCTCTACAATCCAGTGGCAGCAGTCACAATGAAAAGCGCTGAGAACCATAGCTACAGATATACAGATACAGTGGGTGATACCTGTGTCAGTGTGGTGGAAGTTCTTGTGGAAATGAAGTCTGATCCAAATAGAAGAGGTAAGCCTGGCAGTCAGGTGGAATAGACCTGTGAACCCAGTCACGCAGGATGATTCTTCTGGATTCTATATGTCATCTGTTCTTGTTGCCCAAGAGGCTTCAGTACTGTCAGCTATGCTTGAAGATGTGAGACAGCCGTTCACACTTGACCTTCAGGCTCATGTTTGCATCTTTTGTTACTGTTGAAAGTGCGGTTTTTTTAGAGTTGATGAATGGGCGAAATCATTTAAAGGGCATTGTCCATTTTGCACAAACTACAAACACTACACACTCAAATAATAAAAGAAGAAGATCACCATCACTACCACGACCACCACCACCAAAAACTATTTCTAAATATAGCCCTTTTAACAGATTTGAGTGTTGGGGGCTCTAAATAGAAAGTGTCCTTTTTGACACATTTTAATTCATTTTCTAACTAAGTGAAAATACATGCACAGTAACAGTCCACATGCCCCATGTTTACCTGGAAATTTTGAGTGATAAAGTCTTTGAAGATTTAGAATAGTCAAAGCCACTAAATTCCTGATTCCTTTAAAGAACATGTCAATTCAGTTGCTCCGTTCTTCAAAACATTTTTTTTTTCCTAACCTGACCTTTTTATATTTCTTCCCAGTTTATTCCAGCATAGAATATACTTAACCTAAACTTCAGACTTTGATGATTTTTAATTCTCCTCTCTTTAGTCTACACTCTACTATAAATAACAGAAACTGGTGAGCTTCCTACTTAGTCTCATGCAGCATTTTCATGGTGAAACGGAGAAACAGTAACAACAAACTGGAAATATATGTATTTCAACCCACTAGAAAGATGGAAATAATTTTGTCTGTTTTCACCATTTATAATGACAATAATAAACAGTAAAGGAACATATTTCAGTTGAGGATTTCCATTATACAGAAAAGTATTTTGTAGGTACATGTTTGTAAACATATTGCATTGAGTTCTAGTATGGAGAAATGTTTCTAAAAGAAAAACCATCTTTATAAAAAAAAACAAGTTTTTACAGAAATTTCAAGCAGGATAAATATAGAAAAGGATAACCTTAGGTAGTTTAAAAGAGCAATGCTTCTTTATATTTTGGCTATCTATTCTTTTTGCTTTTGAAATACTCAGTGTTGCCCTGCCCTCTCCAGCTGCCAAAGAG